GGGGGGGGGGGGGGGGGAGTAAAAGAATAAAGCAAAACATTCCTTATATTGTGCGACTTCTTTTTCCTTTCGAGAGGTTCGTGGTGTGGCTCCTGAATTGATGAGGATAAAATGACATTGCAGTTGACACGATATTATTTACTTATTAGTACTTCGAAAATATGATTTTAGTAATAATTAATTATTCAATAACCCAATTTATTTGACTAGACAAATAAATTGATTTAGTGTCTGCAATGGACACACAATCTCGGCACTTGACAAGTTTAACTAGTATTTAGATATAGATTTGGTTGAAATATGAAAAAAAATTGAAGTTGTGCTGAAAATTTAAGTTTTGGAAGTTGAAGTTGTATTTGGATATATATTTTATTTGAAAAAAATTGAAGTTTTATGAATGGAAGAAATTTTTTCATCCAAAAACTGCCCTAAATCACTTTTTAGAAATTTGAATTTTTTTTCTTTTAAAAATTAATAATATTTAACAAAATTTTGAAAAAAAAAAAGTTACCAAAATTTATGGCCAAACATGAGGTTAAATGATAGTGAATGAAAGCATTTGTTGTGTACTTGTGTCAAAGTGTATAAAATTAGATCAAACTCTTGAGAGGACCATTGGAAGGGTCCCCAGGTTTCTAGAATTTGGTATTAGTTTGTTTGATCTAACCAATTTTGATAGTAGTGTCTAGAGGATTAGCTAAAGTGGGCTTTCAATGTTGATTGTGCATTCTTTTATGGAATTTTTAACTTCTATAGCAAAGGTTAACACCTTATTTATTTTAAATAAATATCATTTAAAAAAATTATATTCTATAGATATCTTTTAAGTTTTATAGCAAAATGTTTAATTTTGATTACCTCATAACCCTAAGCCACTAAATATGTTATTCAGTTACACTATTTTCTTTCTCTCTCTACTTTGATACATCTCATTCTCTTCTCCCATCCCATTAAAATTTTCGCTCTCCTCCTCCTTCTAACGGCATCTTCTCAACTGAAAAATCTAGGAACAGTCCCTAGTCTGTCAGAAACAAAAGCGCTTTCAATTTTTATGTAAGAACCAATGAATTGTATGAACTTCAGGCTTTCTGGATCTCAAGGGTGTCATGTTTGAGAGCAGCCTCTAATAAAAAGTATTATTCTGTGTTGTTTGTAGGGTAGGTTAGTTTTCTTGGCATATCCTTTGTATTTAAGAAAGAAAATATCTTTTTCTCTATTTTTGTTGATCCACATAACATTTCATTTGGGGACATCTAAAGAAACTCGGCAACTATTTACATTCAATGTTCTCTTTCAGATATCTGTTGAAATTTTTACGAAGGTGGCGCGTTTTCACTACCGTCTTCCGGTGAACGGCGAATTCGCCGGAATTTAGGATTTGTTCTTGAACAAAGACGATGGAGTTTGGGGTTGAGCAACTTGATTTTCTGTTAATATATTTCAATGTATTTTCATGTATTTCATTGTAATCATTGTCTTTTTTTCATTGTAATTCAATGTATCTCGTTGTATTCCATGTATTTCATTGTATTTACTGTCTTTTTCATTATTTTTCAATGTATCCCGCTTTATTTTATGTATTTCATTGTATTCACTGTCTCGCTATATGTCATGAATGTATTCATATGTTTTTTTTAATTAATATAATTTATGTATTCAGATGTATTATATAATTTCTCTGAAGATTGCTATGTTTTTGGGGTATTTTTCGGTTGAGAATCTTTTTTATAACTGAAAATACAAAATTTGTGTATTATAATTGAGTTTGTTGAGTTATATTAAGAGTCTATTATGTTAATTGATTAACTTTCCGTTTTAAAAACAGTGTAATCCCCTATTTCACGCCGTGAATACAGTCAAATACAATAATCTGTCCAGCTATGATCTCATGTTTCACTCCATGAATACAGTCGAATATACTCGAATACAACAACTGATTAGCTGGACTTCCCTGATTCACGCCTATTTTTGCTATTGTATTCATGAATATAATAGCTTAAATGTATCTATAATCCGTAATATAGCAAATGGTACCTATAGATAGCTAATTACTACTAAAGATAGTGCTTTATGAAAATTTCTCTTCTTTTATCAATAATACAATAATCCCATTTTTGTTATGAAATACATATTATATGGATGTTCACTAATCAAATATAACTCTCACTATTCTTCTTCATTATGTAAATAATCCATACTACTTCTCATCATTTTAGTTATAACTCTCACATCTCCATAACCTCCCTATGATCTTTAGAGGCGGATGTAGTGAACAACTAACGGGTTCAATTGAACTCATAACTTTCGACGCGATGTAAAAATTTATATGTAAAAATTCACTAAAATTGCAAAAATAATGGATACGAACCCATAACTTAATAAAAAATATAATGTGTTCAATGCTAAAAAACTTAAAAGTTGAACCCATAGGATTTAAATCCTGGATCCGCCTATGATGATCTTCCCCCATGCATGATCTCAATAGTAATACCATGTTCATGACATCCCTTTGTATTACCTCAATGTCATCCTATAAATAGAGGGTTCGGGCATCACATTATACACAATTGGACATTTAAATACATAGAAGAAATAAGAATCTCTCCTCTCTTCCTCTCTATATCTCTTGTCTATTTTCTTATTTTATATTGTTACTTTGAGTTTAGTTTCTTAAAATTTTTCCTACAATTCATTAACATTTCACATCTCAACCTCTTTATTTTATTAATACTAACTTTCTCTAAAGAACTCAATTAATGATAAATGTTAAAAATTCTAAAGTGTGCCACAATATTAGTTTTTTTAATTGAAAATAATTTAACTGAATTTACGTTATTTAAACGGCTCCGCTTACTCCGCCCTCTTAGAGAAAAAAAAATGAAAAACATATAAATAAATAATAATAAAAAAAAAAAAAGAAATAGAATGGCGAAGTTCAAAAGATAAGGATCAAAAATAAATATAAACATCAAGCAGGGGCCGAAGAGAAAAATGAAAAGGAAAGAGATCTTATTGCTAATTTACCATGTTTGACCTAGAGGAAAAAAAATTGACTTTCTTGAAGGCTAAGGCATGTTTCGTAAGCAGTGTCGTATCGTTCTAAAGCATTATGGTAACAAATCCCGTTAAGGACCCGGCAGCAGTGGAGGCATTAGACGTTTTCTTTAATTATACTGGACTGGTATTCTAATACTATATTGTTTGAATTATGGTAATAAATTCCTCATAACTTACATGAATTTTAATACAGAAAATCAAAGTTTATGCTTATTAATTATACAAAGATTATATTAGATATGCAGAATTTTATACCAAAATCATAATATTATATACTTTACTATATAATGTTAAGATATTTTTCTTTGATGCTGGTGATTTTCCATCCGTTTTCGTACAACTCAACTATTTTACTTGATACTTGCTAAATTATTGCTATTATCTCAACAATTCTCATTAGTGACAAATCAACTTTTAACATCATCATAGAGTAATTGCACTAAACTAAAAAAAAATTATAGTAACTCTCTTTATGGTGTAAGGAAAAAGTTTTTTAAGTTTTGAATTAGTATTTTTTTATGGAAAAAAATTTATCTTGTTAGTTTCTAAGTTTCTATTAGAAAAATAAAAAAATGCAAGTACTGATTTTCCGTGATTACTTTTGATTCGTAATTCCTATTGAGAAATCTCGGCAAATTCCTCCATTTGCAAAAACAAACAAAAAGAGAGGTGAATAATAAAACAGTAAAAGACTAGTTACCAAGTCATAACCTAGTAATCCAGTAAAACACTCCATGTTGATTAAAAAAAAGCCGCAGAAGAAAACGAGTGTACATTGAATAATAGCCTCCAAAAGTCAAAATATCTTAAATATAGGAAACTGACCCGAGCAAAAGTAGGACCCGTTTATTAATAGATATATATATATATATATTTCAAAAACATGTTTGTCCAAAAATTTTTAAAGTTTTTAAAAAATTTCGAAAATAAGCCAAAATCTGATTTTGATCATTTTTGTTTCTTCATTCACTTGTAATATTTTTTCATGTGAACTGACTAATTGCATATCCAAACATAATTTTAAATTTAAATATTATTTTTGAACTTAAAATTATAATTTTTATGTCCAATCGCCTACCAATTAAATTATTATAAGAAAATAAAAGTGAGAGTGGGAGGAAATAAATAGAGGAGTTATTTAGAACAGAGTGATCGTAAGTTCTGAAACGTGAAGGCAAGATTACAAGAACACGTGGATGAAGTTAATATCAGAGAATAGCCAAAAAATCAGAAAAGTGGGGTAAAGTAAACTGTATAAAATATATCAAAATCTGAAAAGAAAAAGCAAAATAAAAGAAACAAATACAGTCCTTGACAGTCATTGTAAACCCGCTGCCTTCGCCAAGTTGCTTGGAACTCAAATAAGCTGAAGGCAAAAAGAGCCGCCCTCCTCTTTAACCCTTTCTTCTGTATTCTTTTTTCTTTTGCCTTTTCATTCTTTTTGTGGCTCTGGAGCCGCGTCTACCTATTCCCAGGTACTCTCTCTCTCTCTTTCCTTTGACTCTTTGCTCTTTGTTGTGAGCTCGGCTACTTTTGTTTTTTCTTGATGAATCACTAGTCAATGATGGTCTTCTGGGGTTTTCTTGAATTGTTCTGTAATGTGAGTTGCTCTTGATCTTTTCTTGGTTGTTATGGTGAGTGTTTTCTATGTAATTTCCTTATTTTTTTCATGGTCATGCTGTTTGGTGTTCTTTTTTGGGAATTAATGGTGTGAGACTGAGAATATTTGGGTTTGATGATTTAGAATGTGGGATGTTGTCTACTTTTCCCTGAATCTGATAAAGATTGGTGCTTTTATGTGTTCTTTGCTTCACCCTGGAAAATGGGTGTCACCAGTCTCATTTTTAATTTTCCTTGTGCTGAAAAGGGGCATTTACCCTCAAGAACATACTTTGCCACTGCAAAACTTATTGAATACTAGTTGTTATTTGTAAAAGTTCAATTTTTCAGACTTCTATTTTACGTTTGACATCTTAACTTTCTTTTTATTTTTCTCTTTTTTTCCTGTGGTAGAGGCATTTCTTCTATTTTGTGTGTCATGAAACTTTTTGAACTTTCAAAGACTAGACTCCACTCACTAGCTCCTACACTGTTAATTAGGTAAAATGCCTTGAAGTTTTTATATTATTAAATGGATGTGAATTTACGCACTAGCTTTTGTCATTCAGAAAATAACACTTATTAAGGTCTTATGATCACTTTTCTGCTTCAGATTCTGAAAATGCTTTTCCGTTGTTGTTTGTTTGTTTGATAGTAAAAAGAAAAAGAAAGAAATAACCAATCTTCTTGTCTTCATATAAAACACAAGATGTGCTCGTAGGTAGTTGACATGTGACAGCTTACAAGTCTATGACAACATAAGTTTAGCTCTCTATTGCCTCAACATGCTGCTATGGAGAATTCTCTTTTTCCAGTACTGATCCTGTAATTATTGTAAGTGAGTCATACGATTGTGGCAGTTCCCAGCTTTTTTGTAAGTTTAATCCTCCTGTTTTAGATATGTATGAATTGCTGGTTGTTTCAACTTCTCTGTCTTTCTACTTTCCCCTTGAAGTCTACTGCAATTGTGATGGTCGTGCATTTCAAGAATTAGTAAAAAGGCAGTCCTTATGCTAGTGAGGAATTTCTGATGATTAATACTGTGAAACTTTTGATAGGTGATTAATACTGCTATCGTCTAGCCATGTGTACGATGGTTGCTGACGTGGACATGCTTATTTGAGATTTTATAATGACATAATCCATTAAGCTAAGTGAAAGAGTATATGATTGCAAGTATGATAATTTGTAACTTGGTATTAACTACAGTAGGAAATCAAGAAATTGGATCATATTCATAGGATTTGAATGGAGAAGTCATCAATTTATGAATTTCTTGTAGAAACACAAGTTAATAGTGTAGGAGTATTTGAATCCATACTTTTTGTACTCTTACTTTGCTGTGCCATGATAGACACTTGACTGGCCTGGCAAATAGTTTGCCTTTCGACAAGTCATTTATGGCTTGCTCTGCTGCCTTGAAGTTCCTGAGCATCTGACATTTACATTATATTTTAATCATGTCTAAAGCTTTTTTCCCCTGGCTTTCCAACTTAATTTGCAGACTATGCTTCGGGCAAAGCATCTCGGCACACTCTCCCAGTCAGCTAGGTCCTTTTTTCTAAGTGGATCACGATGTAGTGCAGCAGATGGAAGTTCGTGCACTTGTTCGGAAGATGAAACTTGTATTTCGAAAAGGCCGCAGGCTAGAAATGAGGTTCGACATCCGCAAATATCATCCAGCTTGGTTTCAAAAGCCTCTGTAGGAGTAGGTGCCTTATTATCTGGAGATGCTGTAAAGGCTGTGAGCTCGATAAAAAATGAGACTTTGGATTCTCCAGCTTCTAGGCCACAGGCCATACCCGCATCTACCGTGTCTGGGCGAGTAGAATCTGTTATTTATGGTAGCATTGATGCTGAGAACGCCGTGCAGTCCTCACCTCCCATTTCAGACCAGTTTGTTCGGGCAGGTATTGCAGCAGTCAGTTTTTTATCCGATGTGGTAAACTATAAGATACCTATGTTAGATGGGAGCGGAGAGAATAGCTCATCCAACAACTGTATGGTAGATCGTACAAAGCCTATTTCCAATGTGAGGCCATCAAATGTAAAGACCTCCAGAAATGACAAACTTCAAGCTAACACATCTACTGATACACCTGTAACATCAAACCTTGCAAATAATTCGAACTACACAAAAAGCAGAGGTGATAAGTATAATTCAGTCAAAGGCAGAAACCCTGTTTCGAACAACAGTATTGGGGAAGTGGAGACCCATGGTGTTGTCACAGATTCTCGTGACCGGAGGAGGACAGGACCTCCAAAGTCAAGATCATATCCAAATCGTAACTTGGCAAATGTACGTGCCTCTGAAGGAAAGCTTAAGAATGAAATTCCTGAAGGTTTCAGCAAGCCATTGCGAGAAACAAAGCTGCAAAGTGCAGGAGTTGTTCCAATGGTCAGGCAGTTTTCTAGTTGTGGCAATGTTGTTGGAACAGTTTCTCGCATTTTACAACAGTTAAATTGGGGTTCTGAGACAGAAAATGCTCTTCGTGAACTCAACTGTTTATTGGATCCATACCAAGCAAACCAAATTCTTAAGCAGATCCATGATCATACAGTCGCTCTTGGCTTTTTCTATTGGTTGAAGCGACAACCAGGATTTAAGCACGACGGACACACCTATACCACCATGGTTGGCCTCCTGGGACGTGCTAGGCAGTTTGGGGCAATTAACGAGTTGCTTGAGCAGATGGTCAGAGATGGGTGTCAACCAAATGTAGTGACGTATAACCGTCTCATTCACAGTTATGGCAGAGCAAACTACTTGCGTGAAGCATTACATGTCTTTAATCAAATGCAGGAAGCTAGAGTTGAACCTGACCGTGTAACCTATTGTACTCTGATTGACATCCATGCAAAAGCTGGTTATCTTGATGTTGCCATGGACTTGTATGAAAGGATGCAAGAGGCTGGGCTCTCTCCAGACACATTCACTTACAGTGTCATCATCAATTGCCTTGGAAAAGCAGGTCACTTAGCTGCTGCGCACAAACTGTTCTGTGAGATGGTTAATCAGGGATGTGTACCAAACTTGGTGACCTACAACATTATGATTGCTTTGCATGCGAAAGCGAGGAACTATTCTAGTGCATTGCAGTTATATCGTGACATGCAGAATGCTGGATTTGAGCCGGACAAAGTGACATACAGCATTGTAATGGAGGTGCTTGGCCATTGTGGCTATCTGGAGGAAGCAGAGGCAGTTTTTACAGAGATGAAAAGGAAGAATTGGGTACCTGATGAGCCTGTCTATGGTCTTCTAGTGGACCTATGGGGAAAGGCTGGGAATGTAGAAAAAGCTTGGAACTGGTACTGTGCGATGATTAATGCAGGTTTGTGCCCCAATGTGCCTACGTGCAATTCTCTGCTGAGTGCTTTCCTTAGGGTTCACCGCTTGCCAGATGCGTACAACTTGCTTCAAAGCATGCTTGAATTGGGTCTAAACCCTTCTCTGCAAACTTATACCTTGCTCCTCAGTTGCTGCACAGAAGCTCAAACATCATTTGACATGTCCTTTTGTTGTGAGCTGATGGCAGTCACACGCCACCCAGCGCACGCATTCCTTCTAACCATGCCACCAGCAGGACCTGATGGGCAGAATGTGAGGGATCATGTTAGCAGCTTTTTGGATCTGATGCACAGCGAGGACAGA